TCCCTTTTAGTTATGTTTTTGGATTCCTATCCGTCGGTCTAAACCCTTTAAAAAAATAAAATAAAAAATAAAAAATATTAAACAGTACTGTTTGGGGGGGTCAACCGCAATGCTTCATGTGCATGAGTAGAAAACCTTGGCGTGGACCATTTTTTCTAGGACATATGTATTGGAAACTTAGTTATGAATGGACCTCCAGTTTTTAAGTCCCTTTAATTTTTATTTTTATTTTTTTAAAGTCCTTTTCGTTGTTGTAACTTGTAAGTATAACTGGCTAAGGGTATTTAATTTGTTGTGGACAATATTTTAAGGATCTGACACAAATATAAACAAACTTCTTCTGGTCAAATGTAAATTGCAGATATCGCATTGTCGGGTAAGAATAAAAACCAAGTTTTATTTTTCATGGAACACTCGTACCCGTAAAGAGTGCAATTTTGTTTTCCAAAAAATGATTTGAGATTAAAAAAAAAAAATTAAGCTGATGCTGAACATAGTGAACTGCGGATGCTTGAGCCATTAAGTGGTGGAATGTTGTAACAGCTCAAATTTTGATTGTAACATATAAGCAAGTCTGGACAAAATGCATCAACTGGGAATATGAGAGGTGGATGAATAAGCTTTCGATGAGAATTGCGCTTGATTTTGATTGAAGGCACCAAGGTTTGAAAATGCACATGCTTCGGTAAGCTTACAACTTACAAGGCATAGTTATACAACCAACACGTAACTATAATATAAATACATTACCCAATCACATGTACATGTCTTTCATGAAATTCTCCTTTTTTTATGCCCACCAAAAAACAATATTCACTACTTTGTTTAGTAATGTTATTCACCGGTAGAGCTGTTAAATACTTAATTTAAGACATATCTGAACAATTCAAATAAAAATATAATAAAAATATTTTTTAATAAATTTAACATGAATTAATAGTAAGAAATGAGAATTTATATATATTTTATAAAAATTACTTATGGCACGCCTTAATAGTAGTCAAAACGTCGAGTTATGGGAAGAATCCTTTCATTGATCAGGAAAATAGACTTCAAGAAGAATTAGAGGACGTGCTAGCTCAAGAGGCTCCAAAAGTCTATTATAAGTCAATGGTTCAAAGATAGTGTCCGTAATAGTAGGTTCTATCACACTATCAGAAGAATGAAATTCCCTCCTCTATCAACAGAGAAAATACGTCTACAATCAATATCACTTACAATCTATGGCAAAGCAATTCTGAGGTTCTGTTTCATTATGAGGAGATGAGGTTTTAATTAAGACTCAGTACTTTTTCCTAACCCAAACACTTAGGCTCTGTTTGGGAGATGGTTTTGGAGGGGAAGGGAATGGAAGGGAGGGTTTTAGGAAGTTCTTCCCTTGTTTGTGAGTTTAAAAAAAGGAGGGAAAGAGTTTGGGAGTTTTTACTAAACCTTCCAAAACTCTCATTCTTCTTAAAATTAAAGTTCCCCCAATTTGAGGGTTTGAGAAAAAAATATTAAAAATTACTTATTTACCATTAGCATTAAAATGTTAAAATTACATAATTGTGAATCATTTTTAAACACGATATTATTAGAAAAGTCTCAAATACCGACATAATTTATTGACGAAAAATATTTCGTCAAAAATAGTGATGAAATTTTTTACGAAAATCATATACATCAAAAAATTTCCGTCAAAATTAAAGACAAAATTAGAGACGGAATCAGATTTTGCCATAATCACTAACATAAATTTTGTACGAAAAAAAATTCAACCAAAATTATTGATAGAATCTAAATTGCGTCGAAACTTTTAAGGAAAATATTTTCGTCCAAAATTTTGATGAAACACATTTCCATCGAAAAGTTTTGACGTAAAACAATTACGTCAAAATTTTTTACGAAAAATATTTCCATCAAAATTTTGACAAAAAATATTTTTGTAAAACAATTTGACGAAATTTTTTTTCATCAAAATTCTTTACGGAATCTAAATTTTGCCAAAATATTTCACAAAAAAACATATATTCATCGAAATTTTTGACGAAAAATTTCGACGAAACACATTTCTATCGAAAATTGTTGACGAAAAAAAATTTCATCAAAATTTGTAACAGAATTTAAATTCCGCCGAAAGTTTTCGACGGAAATATTTTCGTTAAACTTTTTGGCAAAAAAATGTCAAAATTTTTAACGAAACACATGTCCATCGAAAATTTTCGACGAAAAATATTTTCGTCATGTTTTTTGATAAAAACATTTCTATCAAAATTTTCAACGAAACGCATTTCTGTCAAAAAATTTCGAAAAAAAATATTTTTCGTAAAAAATTTTGACGAAAAATATTTTGACGGGAAAAATATTCTGTCAAAATTCTTTATAGAATCTAAATTACGTCGGAACATTTCCCTTAAAATTTCTAAAAAAACAATTTATGTTGTAATTTTCGTCAAAACACATTTCCATCGAAATTTTGAACGGAAAACGTTCCGTCAAAATTTTTGACAGAATTCGTTTTTTGTTTAATACATTTGATGGAAAATAAATTTCGTCAAAAATTTCGATAGAAAATTTGTTTTTGTAAAAAATTTCATCAGTTGAAAAATTCTGTCGCTTTTCGACGAAAAGTATTCTGACGAAAAAAATAAATTTGTAATGAAATTTTCATCGTTTGCAACGTAAAAATTTCATCGAAAATATGATCTTTTTTGGTGTTGTATAAAGTACATACATAATTTTGTTAGAAATTCTAAATTTAATTTAAAAAATATAATAATTATATTAATTTTAAAAATAAGGATAAAATGGTAAAAATATCTCATTGACCCTCCATTATCCTCTCATTCCATTTTTTTAACTCCCAAACAAGGGAAGGAAATACCTTCCAATTTCCTCCCATTCCTTCCCTTTCCTCTCCCTTGGATCCCCTTCCTTCCCCTCCCCTCCAAACTCCCAAACAGAGCTAGGCTGTGTTTGAGAGTTAGTTTTAGGAGGAGAAGGGAAGGGAATGGAGAGTTTTAGTAAGCTCTTCCCTTGTTTCTGAGTTTAAAAAAAGGAGGGAAAGAGTTTGGTGATTTTTACTAAACCCTCCAAAACCTTTCTTCTTCTTAAAATTAAAGTTCCCCCAATTTGGAGGATTTGAGGGAAAAAAATATTAAAAATTATTTATCTACCCTTATCATTAAAATGTTAAAACTACAAAACTGTGAATCATTTTTAAACACGATACTATTAGAAAAGTCTCAAATACCGACAAAATTTATTGACGAAAAATATTTCTTCAAAAATAGTGATAAATTTTTTTATGAAAATCACATACGTCAAAAAAAAATTTGTCATAATCACTAACATAAATTTTGTACGAAAAAAAAAATTCTGTCAAAATTATTGATAGAATCTAAATTGCGTCGAAATTTTTAACGAAAATATTTCCGTCCAAAATTTTGATGAAACACATTTCCATCGACGTAAAAAAATTACGTCAAAATTTTTTAATGAAAATATTTCCATCAAATTTTGACAGAAAATGTTTCTCTACACAATTTTGACGAAAAAAAATTTCATCAAAATTCTTGACAGAATTTAATTTCGCCAAAAGTTTTCGACAGAAATATTTCATTAAACTTTTAGGCAAAAAAAATTTCTGTTGAAATTTTTAACGAAATACATTTCCATCGAAAATTTTCGACGGAAACATGTTATTTGATAAAAAATATTTCCATCAAAATTTTCAACAGAACACATTTCTGTCAAAAAATTTTACGAAAATATTCGTAAAATTTTTTGACGAAAAATATTTCGATAAAAAATTTTGACGGAAAAAATATTCTGTCAAAATTCTTTACAAAATCTAAATTTCGTCAAAAGTTTGAATGAAACATTTTCCTCAAAATTTATAACAAAACAATTTCTGTCAAAATTTTCATCAGAACACATTTCCAACGAAATTTTGAACAAAAAATGTCCTGTCAAAATGTTTGAAAGAATTCTTTTTTCATTTAAAATATCTGATGGAGGAAATCATTTTCGTCAAAACTTTTGACGAAAACTAAATTTCGTCAAAACTTTTGACGAAAACTAAATTTCGTCAAAAATTTCGATAGAAAATTTATTTCTGTAAAAACTTTCCTCGGTTGAAAAATTCCATCGCTTTTCGACGAAAAGTATTTCAACGATTCATCGTTTGCAACGTAGAAATTTCATCAAAAATATGATCTTTTTTAGTGTTGTGAAAAGTACATAAATAATATTTTTTAGAAATTTTAAATTTAATTTAATTTAATTTGTAAAGTATAATAATTTTATTAATTCTAAAAAAAAAGGTAAAATGATAAAAATATCCCATTGACCCTCCATTATCCTCCCATTCCTTTTTTTTGACTCCCAAACAAGGGAAGGGGATGCCCTCCAATTTCCTCCCCTTCCTTCCCCTCCCTCCCCCTCGGATCCCCTTCCTTCCCTTCTCCAAACTCCCAGACAAAGCCTTAAGATGCTGGAGCTGGATAAGAAAGTTTGATCACAGAAGAGCCCTTTAAGCTTGAAGCATGAATATGACACAAGCCTATTATTAATCTGCTTTGTGCTGTACAAGCCTATTTTTTTTATCTGCCTTGTGCTTATCTTAATTCTACCTAAAAGTGGGAGCGGTGAGAACTCGTGACCTCGTAGTCACTAAAACTCCAATACCATGATAAGCGTCACTTCAACCCAAAACCTTAAAGCATTGGATTAGGCTAAATTAATTATTTTATATATCTCTAACAAAATCTTACTATGAAATCAAGAGTAACATGTCTGGCATCAACCCCCTGAAAGCTCCTATAGATAAGATGGGTTACCTAGGCTATTTTATCAGAATGATTGGCAGGTGGTGAGCAACAGTGGTGAATTTTGTCTAGAAAGTTTGGAAGAAGAATTCGCCTATCGCCTATCACCTATCACGGAGATAAATTAAAATTAGAAAAGTATTCTCAGTTGAGTACTTTCTCAAATCAACAACTAGGATTTCAAAAAACATATCACACCTTAAAGGCTTAAAGCCAAAATATTAAGACTATCCAAGTAATCCCAAGACATCACAGAGACAGACCAACATCATACGACAACGATAACAAGCAGGTTTCTTGAAACAAAATCTCAACCTAGGATAGTAGTATCCTTAGAACATAATTTCTAAAACTTGCAATTTCTCCCATTACCATGATCTCCAAGTCTCATGGATTGTAAATTCTGCAACAAAGGTTATGGAATAGCACGATTAGAACGAGATACGCATCAATATAACATAAAGACACACGTATTAACATCAAATAAAAACCAACTTTGGAATTAATAGACAAACAAAAGGACATCTGGAATATACTTACATATTTTATTAAAGGCTACAATGTCACAACTCTGGACATATTCATTGATGGGCTCAACTGTAAGACGTTCCTCAATGAGAGTGTCGACAGAGACTAGGTCATCCACAATAGAAAGCATAATTTGCAGTTTCTTGATACCGTACCCAACAGCAACAAGTTTGGCTGTGACATTAATAAACTAATATCGGAATCGCAAAAGAGGAATAGCCATGATAAACAATAATATACCTTTGAAATGCAAACATAATCGTAATGGAGATTAAAACTTTTCTCCAAATCAAAGATTAGTGAGTAATATTTTTAGCATTTTAACATACAATAGACTAAAACTTCAGATTAGCATATCCTATAAAATAGATCAGAAAGTAAACAGTTAACAAAGATCAAACATAACATGTAAAAATATTATAACCAATGCAAAAATAACAAACATGAAAAGAAACATAACATACATGCACCCCAAAGCAATCCTTCCATCTGAACAGATCTGACTGCTTCTTCAAGCTTTTTCATGTCGGTTTCATCATCCCACGGCTTTACATCCAGCAGAACAGATGATTTCCCAGCTGTGAATTAAATCACCAGAAAACCAATGCTCTTACAAACAGGTCTAAGAAAAGGGGAGAGGGGAAAACCTTCTGTTAGTTTATGACAAGACAAAAGCTTACACTCTTTCTTTTTTCCAGATGCTTTCATAGCAGCTGCCCGTTGCTCAGCTGCCTTCTTTTCTTCCTCGGTCTCTTCACCAAACAAATCCACATCATCATCATCATCCTCATCTGCAGTTGCAGTAGCCTGAGTAACATGTTACGTTCAGTTTCAGTCAAAGGTTAAACACAAAACCAACCACAGTTCGGACATCTATCATTAGGAAAATGCTTGCCTTTGAGTCGGCAGGTGGGGGAGTGGCAACAGTCTCATCAGCTACAAGAGAAGATCCCCCCACAGTGACACCACATCCCTCACCAGAAACACCACTAAAGACACAAAAAATGAAATTAAAATATAAAAAGTTCTAAAAAAAATTGCCAAGAAGTGTGAATGCTTTAACACAAGTCACTTGAATTACCAACTCATCATACTACACCAGCACAGAATAAACATCTTAATAACACACCACCATGAACTATAACATCATTACATAAATAATTTTTTTCATTAATCAACACATAATTGTCATGATAAGTCATGGGAAGGAAACTTACGAGATTCTCAACAAAGCATCAATGTGCTTGTACCACCTCGACACATTCACATATTCATCTGATGGAACAGATGACAAAGCAGCATAGACAGTAACATCATCCTTTGAAGCTTGGTACCTAAAAGGAACATGTAAATAGACAAATGTATAAAAAAAACCAAACAATTAAAATTAAAAGGAAAGAAACAAAGGAGCGTACAAAAAGTGACTAACCCAGTGATATAACTGCGTGAGAGAAGGTACTCATCAAGCTTCTTCAACCCAGATGCAGAGCTAGGGTTGTATAATGTAACTGCCATGTTTGCTAAATATATGCTAATGCTTCTGCAAAAAATATGCATTACATGGATTACAATAACAACAATAAGAATTCTCCAAAAAAACCAGATCTTCGATCGAAACCCATTACCAGAAACTGGGAAAGTTAATTTAAAAAAAAAAAAAAATTACAAAGTTATGAAGAGATTTTATTGATTAATATTACAAATTGGCATGGGTTATGGCAATTCTCATTATAGAAGAAGAGATCGATCGAAGGAACTTACCAGTGCAAGATGCAAACGACGGCAGCAACAACAGATACAAATGGACTGAGAGTGAGAAAAAGTAGCTTCTTCCTTTTTATTGGCTCAGAAGGGAACCCTGACCCGAATTGCCAATTGGGTCATTGGAGCCCTAATTGGATCATCGTCCAACCATGTTTGAAATTATTTTTAGAAAAAAAAATTATGCATTGTTTTTTGAAATTATTTTATATTTGAAATACATTTTTTAGTAAAAAAATTTATTTGAATTATAAAATTATTAAATATTTTTTTGTATAAAATTATTAAAAAGAATAATATGGTAGTGGTAATGTAATGGTGGGGTAATAATGGTGGAGATAGGATATGGACAAAATTGAATTTTGAGAAAAATAATTCAATTTTAAGTTCTATTTTTTCATAAGTCAGAAATATATCTTAAGAAAAAAAGTATTATCTTATACTTTTTTGATTTTAATTTTTAAAAATATTGCATCTAAATATATACATTAAATAAAAATAACTTTTATTTTGAAAAAAGTTACTTCTTAATACACAAAGTCATGGGCTTGTTTTCAGTGGTCAACCCAACATTGATTGGGAATGGAGAAGTTGACCCACATTATTGATAGTGCAATCAAAGGAGACCTTTGGTTACCAATTCGAGTTGGGAAGGAAGGCCCCCTAATATTCCACCTTATGTTTGCTGATTTTCTAGTGTTGTTTGCTTAAGCGAAGGCCAGATTATAAACATGATGAAATGCTCAAGTTTATTTGAGGAAGCATTGGGGCAAAAAATTATTGCCCAAAAGAGCAGCATCTTCTTCTCAAAAAACACATAAGAAGTTGTAGCATCTAGAATCACGGAGCTTTGTGATTTTAAGAGAGTGAAAAATGTTGGGAGGTACCTGGGGGCTTGGATACAACATAGTAGGGTGACTAAACAACATTATAGGGATATTATAGATAGAGCTTGTCAAAGACTATCTGGATGGCAAGCAAATTGCATTTCGCAGTTTGGAAAAATCACACTTGCATAATCGGTATTAGCTACCATTCCTTCATTCTAAATGCAGTGTGGTAAGTTGCTAATTGGAGTGTGCAATGAGTTGGAGAAAATTCAAAGACATGTTATATGGGCGGATAAGGAAGGCTAGAAGAAAATGCACCTCATAAGCTCGGATACTTTGGCCACACCCAAGATCGAAAAGGGTCTGGATTTAAAGAAAATGGCCTTATTTAATTATGCTTTCTTAGCTAATTTGGCGTGGAATATTTTTACTAATCCTAAAACTCAATGAGCAAGAATATTAAGAGCTACATATGCTGACACCCGAACAGGAATGGAGACCTTCACTTTCAAAAGTGAGGACTCTATGTTATGGAAGAATATATGCTTAGTGTGGAGGAAAATAAATGAACATACTAGTTGGGAGATAGTAAATGAAAAAAATGTCATGTTTTGGCAAGACAGGTGGGCAATTAAAATGGAAGACTCATGGATAGATTCCTTGGGCCAATCCCATGGTAAGAAGCAATGAACAAGGTAGTTGACTATGTTACTGAATCTGGCAGATGGAACATTGAAGAACTATCTAGGTGGCTGCCAAAAGAAGAAATTCAAACAATTAGTAGTTGCCTTCCTCCCCACCCCTGGATGGCATTGATAAAATAAAGTGAAATGTACCAGGCCAAGGCGATGTCTCAGTTTGATGGATTTATAAGCTGCTATATAATCATACAACGACCATGAGTGAGAGCTCAATAATTTGGAAAGTTATATGGAAGTGTAAAATAGCTCACGTACTTCAACTATTTTTATAGAAAGTGACTCATGGAAGGCTCCTAACGAAGAAAAGGATGGCATTCTTGCAACTAGGAGACCCTAGGTGCAATCTGTGCAACAATGCAAACGAGACTCTAATGCATGTTCTAAGGGACTGCCACTATGCTCGAGCTTTATGGGACATGCTAGAGGCTCAAAGATTCTACGCAAATTTCCTCACATTAGAAGTTCAGAATTGGATTATCTCCAATATGCAGGTAACTATAGAGGTAATCATGGTTAGGGATGGCAAAAATGAGCCAACTTGTCAGGTTGCCTCGTAACCCGTAAAAAATGAGTCGGGTTGGGTTGGCAACAATGAGCTGACAACCCGAGCCAGCTCGAAAAAAATTGAAACAACCCGCGGGTCAAACGAGTCAGCTCATGGTTTAGGATTTTTTTAATTAAAAATTTTTTAAAAATAATATTAATGACCCATGCTGCTGTCACTTTCTTTCTTCCTTCTTTGCACGCTTTCTTAAATTCTTCACAAACAATAAAACCACACTTCTCACATAACCAGGGTTCGGTAAAACCTTAGCCACTATATGGGTTTCGTTTCTCACACTATCTACTCCATCGGTCACCACTGCAATCCAGCTCCTATTCTCTATTATAAGTCTTCTTAGTCGACGTTGCAGCTTGCTTCAAACTAACAATTTCGCTCAAACCCTTTTATCTTCCATCCAACCCATTGTGTATCCGTTAATTTCCCTCACATCCATTGTGTTTGATCACATCATTTCACTTGGAGCTTCCACCGCCTTCCACCCTTAAGTAATTGGGCACCACCACCATCGACAGAGACACTTTCAAGGTAGGCTATTTAGCTTGACATCAACTCCTGCCCTGCACACCTCTTGCAATTTTTTGGTTCGAGTATCACCCACACGCGCTGGTCAAGCGTAATTTCAGGTTTTTCACCGAACCACTTATTTTCTTTTGCTTTGGATTTCAACCTAGTTGTAGCTGTGCAAGTGTGCATGTTAAGCCTCAGTGCTTATCGGAGTCCTTGTTGGGTTGCCTGGCTGAATGTCTTTCCTTTTTACTTTCCTTTTTCTTTATGTTGAAGATAAAATGTGCAAAATAGGTATGATTGTTACTGCTGAATGTTTTTAGTGTTGCATCTCATCTATTCCGGCTTTGGGATGGCTTTGGAACACTATATTTGTGTTTGTCTAGTTGTTGATTTAAGAAATCCTCGCCTCTAAAATGTTCATCATATTGTTATTGCATTTAAGTGAGCTTAAATGCCTATTGTTGCATTTAATTAAGTTGCTATTACTGAATATGTCATTCTGATTACATTTGTTTCCCATATAATGCAATAAACAAAATGTTTTCCATTAGTAGCCTAAACCACAAAAAGTCAATTTACTTTTTAGATAAGTATTTTCCACAATAATCATTGTCCTCATTATGTAAATTTATGTTCTCAAATCCTATGGTGTTATCTTGGCCATCTCCAAGCGCATCACACCTAATAGCCAATGCTGTCAATGCAGCAAGTGACCATGAAATTCTACCCTTTTAACTTTAAAGTTGTGAAAATATTTTGATCCGATGTTAGAAAGTTTCCAACTTTCTCTAGCTTTTCCTCTGTTTTCTCGGTTGCTAAACAGGCAGCGTATATACAGAACAATTTTTGTTGTTGCCTCTGTTTGTGTTTCTTTATGCTCCTCCTACCTCTTCTAAATACTTTTTTTCCTTCTACAAGTTCCATTCTTCTTAGATGTAAAGGACCTTTTGCCTCTTATGTCTGAAGTTTTTTAATTGTTCTTTTTGAATTAAAAATGCAATCTTCTCATCTCTGACATCTCTTCAAGTCCCTGAAATGGCTGATTCGAATAGGTAAATATTCTTCTATTTTTTTAAAAGCTATTTTGTTCCCTAATTTTTATTTTAAATTATATTTTCCATTTTCGCTATAATAATTTTATATTAAACTTTGATGTAGGAAAAGCTTGGCATTGCTTGAAGAGGGCAATGATGCTGATGCAAAAAGCGATGAATTGGAGGTTGAAGAAGGACCTGCTTTTAAAAAGCCTAGGAAAAGACAAGCGCATTGCTGGAAACATTTCACAATAATAAGAGAAAAAGGGAATGAAAAGGCAAGATGCAATGGTTGCAAGATACGGTACAAGATTGACAGTAAGACTTGCAATATGTATACTTTAAATCGTCACATTGACAAATGAACACAAATTAAACATGAAGATCTTGGTCAAGTCATGTTAGACATGAAAGGTAAAATAGAGGCTATAAAAATAGATATCAAGATAACACGTGAGATGTTTGCTGAAGTTGTTATTGAACATGACCAACCCTTTAACTTTGCTGAGTATAGAAAGTTTAGGCGTTTTCATAATTACTTGAATCCATATTGGACTGGCATTTCTAGAAATACTCTTAAACAAGATGTTTTAAATGTGCACATGAGAGACAAGGTGAAGCTGAAAAAGTTATTGGGAAGCATTCAAAGTAGGATATGCTTAACTTCAAATTTGTGGACATCTTGTAATACTGAGTGTTACGTTTGTTTAACTGGCCATTTCATTGATGTAAATTGGAAGCTGAATAATAAAATTATCATCTTCCGTCATGTGCCTCCTCTTCATACTGGATTTGAATTGACTCATAAAATACTTGGTTTGTTAAAGGAATGGGACATAGAGAAGAAGATTTTTACCATTACTTTGGATAATGCATCTGCAAATGACTCTATAGTTGGTACTTTGAGAAGCAATTGAATATGCAAAAATTATTGTTATGTGATGGGAACTTTTTTCATGTGCGTTGTTCTGCACACATATTGAATTTGATTGTTCAAGATGGAGTAAAAGTTGCAAATGATGCCTTGTCTAGGATTAGATAAAGTGTTAAATATATAAAAGGCTCAAAATCAAGACGTATTAAATTTAAAGAGTGCATTGAACAAGTTGGTGGTGAGAACGCTACACCTACTTTGATAGCAGATGTACCCACTAAATGGAATTCCACTTATGAAATGCTTGATCGTGCTCTCAAATTCAGGCGTGAGTTAGCAATTCTCCAATTGAGTGATGAAAATTACAAGTATTGTTCTTCAGAAGAAGAGTGAAATAGGTTGGAAATTCTTTGTCAGTTTTTGCAACCATTTTGTGAGATCACTAATTTGATGTCTGACACTTCCTATCCTACTTCTAACTTGTATTTTCTATAAGTTTGTAAAATTGAACGTGTTCTCATTCGTACGAGT